TAGTGGCGCGTCACAGGAGCACTTAAATGGAACACACACAAGCCCATCGGAACACTTAGGATGCATTGAAGGGTGCTGAGGGGGCTGGCCATATTGTTGCAAAGCCACACTATCATCTTTGAAAGGTCATGGCAATTGAAGTGGTTCCTGATGACTGGAAAAAGGCAAAGGTCACACCCATCTTCAAGAAGGGTAAGAAGGAGGATCCAGGGAACTACAGGCCAGTCAGCCTAACCTCAGTCCTTGAAAAGGTTATGTAGCAAATCCCCCTCAAAGCCATGTCCAGGCACATGAAGGACAAGAAAGTGATTGGGAACAGCCTGCATGGATTTACCAAAGGGAACTCAACAGGCTGGGGAAATAGGCTAACAAAGCTTATCAAAGGCAAATGTAAAGTCCTGCACCTGGGACAGAATAACCCCACACAACAGAACAGGTTGGGGGCTGACTGGCTAGGAAGCAGTTCTGCAGAAAAGGATCGGGGGGCCCTGGTAGACAACAAGTTGACCAAAAGGAAGCAACATGCCCTTGTGGTGAAGGCAGCCATCCACATACTGGGCTGTATTAGCAACAGTGTAGCTGGCTGGTCCAGGGAAGCGATTCTTGCAGTCCATTTGGGACTTGTGAGATCACATCTGGAGTATCATGTCCGATTTTGGGTTCCCCATTACAAGATGATGTTGACATACTGAAGCAAATCCAATGGAGAACCACTAAGACTAGTCAAACATTGGAACAGGTTGTACAGAGAGCTTATGTACTCAGAACTCAACTGGTCAAGGCCCTCAAGTAAGCTGCCCTAACCTTGAAGTCAGCCCTGCTTTGAACAGGAGGTTGAACCAGATGACCTCCAGCAGTCCCTTCCAGCCTAAATTATTCAATGATTCTTCAACACAAGTTCCTGAATTACACTGTTCTCATATGCATTAAAGTTATACAGCCAGACTGTGAAACTCAGGAAGAGGACATCTTGGTTTGACTTGGTTGGATTTTGGGGGAGTACTTAAGAGAAGGAAGAGACCACTACCAATTACAGTGACATTTTAATAGTGTGAATTCCTGTCAGTTGAGACAGGACAGGAGTAATCAACTTTTCCCACATTGGTTGTAATAGCTGTTTAGTAGCTTATGTAAAACTTGGTGCTATTTGATCCCTATTGGCCAAACTCCAACAATTAAGGTCAGAATCCCAACCAAGTACAGCTGAGAAGTTGTACTTAAGTAGTTAATCTGTGGAGAAAAATCTTTCTTTCACAAGAGACAGGCAATGAGAGTCAAAGGCTCTGGAGACTTGCAGATTAGGTGGCCCACTGGAGTAGTATAAGAATTGTAGGTTTCATTGTGCTCAAAGCACCAGCTGTTAAGAGAAGCAAAATCCTAAATTTCAACCCTAACTCCCCCAACCTATCACTCTCATTGGCCTCTGAGACAGGAATGTAGTAGAACATCAGGGGGAAGGAAGTGTTTAAGATAGAAAAGTTTCACAAATGTCAAAACTCTTTAAACAGCTGGTGTCTTAAATGGGTTTTAGTTGCCCTGCTCACACTCAAATTCAGTGAAACTAGATATGTGGTACTTGAAAACTAGAATATGGCTTACTAAAGTATCATTAAACCCATTGGGAGGAAGTTTTCATTAGCTAGCAAGTTCCTGTCGTCCTCTCAAACATCCCCAGATAGATTCAGTATTATATCAGGGGAGAACAAAAACAAGATCTATCAACATAGGACATGCAAGCATCTTCTGTTCTCTTATCTTTATTATTAGTGGCTGCAGAATTTTTAAAATTTATTTGTGGTAGGAGAATAACTTAAAGAATTTGCTCCTATGTGCCATCTATAACAATGCTGTCTTTCATCTCAGCACACCTTATCCTCTATGGAGGATCATTTTCACAAAGCTTCAGTGGAATTGAATACCGTTCTCATTGCTGAGGTGCTAAAGGAAGCAGTAGCAAGGAGTTCAACATATCTATCACTACTCTGAAATTTTTGTGTTACAATGAAACTAAGCCATTTCCATTTTACTTTGGTAATGTTTAGGCAGCTGCAGCATTGGCAGAAAAAGAGTTGGGAGGGGGAAGAAAAATAAAAAAAAAAAAAAAAGTCAAAGAACAAGAGGAGAATCAGTCTTACACATGATTAAGGATCTGCAAATTGAAGGCTGGTTGGGTTTTTTTTCCTCTCCTTTCATAATGAATTTCCCAGCTACACAACCTTTTTAAGCCATCACTCAGAAAACAAGCATTTATAACAGCAGTATCTAATCAGTACCTTTTTCTTCTTGTTAGCAGATATTTAGCAAAAGTTTCAACCCCAATATGAAGATAATCTTTTGAAGTATTTCACCAAGCAAAGGAGATATTTTCACCTGCAAAGCACAAAAATCCACAACAATCAGGAGAATTTCTTTGGCTCAGACCCACGCAGTACAAAACACTGAAAAATCATACTGATTTATTCATATTCATGAAAAACTGCTTACTAGAAAAGTGTCCATTTATGAAATGTGATTTCTGAGAGTTACATTGGAAGCCTGCATGACAGTTAAGCAAGTTTCCTTTGTTGAGCAATTAAAAGCAGTCTTAAAACTGGATGCTTATATGCCCTGCCCTTCAGCATTTCTAAAATACTTTCTCCATGGCACAGAGGTGCACCTTTCTGGTTTTCCACTCATTACATAGATGAAAGAAAACATGAGTTTTCATTGCAACATTGCAGCAAGAAAGAGCACAGAGTAGAGAAAGTACTAGGTGTCCACTGGTAGAAGATTTTACTTCTACACATAACAAAAATCTATATGGAACACAAAGTTCTCTTACCAAGATTTTCCCAAGTAATGCTAAAAATTTGAGAAGGTGAAAAGCTACAAATCTATTCAAAGTTTTTTTTTTTTTTTGGGGGGGGGTAAAAGCAAACAAAAAGCCCCTCTGAAGCAGGTATTTGTTCCATTCTACCACAAAAGCAACTTCACGTTACTTACCTGAGAAAATCCTGATACTGAAGGGCATATACAAAAACCAGTAGCTGCAAGGTTTAGGGCAGACAAATAAGACAGGGATTTGGTCATCTAATAATTTAAAATGAAGTCACAATGCTCTTCTGAAATAATTTTTTTAAAAATCAAAGGAGCAGCTTGGCTTAATATGGGGTAGCCCAAATAAACTCTTCTATTTGTGATAACATCCACATTATAGTGCTTATGAGACCATTAAACCAGCTTTTCTAAAAAATAATTGTACTTGTTTTGAGGTTTAAAACAGATATTACTGTAGTTATGAGATTTATTATGCAATAGCTGTACATGTACAAAGTATTTTTATGCATATTGTAACCATGCTATGCTTTATTATATTAGTAAAGTTTAATTAGAACCTTCATTTAGAAAAGCCTTTCAACTCCAAATCCAATCTTCACTAGATTTTTTTGCAACAAAATCTGACAGAAGATGCTACTATTTTAAAGATGAAAATATTCAGCCTTACCCGATATCTGGTTGCCTTGATTAGCAGAGCTGTATAATCTGATCATTGTATTGTTCAAAGAAGCTCTTATTTCATATGGAGTCTTACTCAAGCAGCACCTATCACACAGGTAGGTTTGCTTTAAAGCTTAGGGACACTTTAAGGAATGACTCATCTTATAAATTTGTGGATAGCCTTCTGCTGAATTAGTAAATTAAACCTGCTCACAGGAAGGTCTGATGAGAAATAAAGAAGAATCAAGGAAAGAGGCTGAATGCACAGCAAGAAGAATTGTAAATTCCCTTTGACAGCAGCAAGCTATTAGCTTGGCTCCACTATTTGTGGAGCCAGTCTCTAACATAGTTAAGCAAGGTGCATTCCAGCTACCTCTTTTCAATTAAGATGTATTAGGCTGTTCAAACCATTAATTGCTCAGGGTAGGGTCTTGGCTCATGTCTGAGGAGCAACCTAACACATTTTTGGGTGCTGAATAATCCCTACCACACAAGAGAAGGGGCAAAACGTTCTACAAAATTAAGAAAACCTCTGGCCCTACTAAATCAGTTTTACCTTTTTGATTAAGAATCACTAGTTTGTCTAAACCCAAATTACTCTCTATGTTCTGCTATTTTGAGCTGAAAAAACAAGGCTGTTTCTGCATCAAGATGTATTACACCTGCAAACAAAAAACCACACACACTGAAAGAGGCCCTGAAGTGTCAAAGTTTTCTAAATATTTAGAAATACTATATAAATATAGCATAACTTCAAGGGTAGCTTTTTTCATTAATAGTACTGTCTTTCTTTACTGATAATGAGCTAGTTCTTCTTTAAACAAAATTGTTAGAAGCACCAGGCTTTTGAAGAAAAGGCTACTCATTTTCACACACTATTCCAAAATTAAATCTTGACAAAATGTTACAGAAAGCATTTGTAATATACTAGGAGGAGAATGTTACAATGCATTATTTGATGATAATTTAGAGTCAGAAATTATCAGTCATTAAAAAGGCACTTTGTTTCAATTCAGCTCACATCTATCAGGAAGAGATAGGAAGACCCTTGGCTTCCACTAATTAAAGGTTGATTAAAAAGGGAGCCCTCAATCTCATGAAGGACAAAGTCCCTTCACAATCAAGTCTGTAGTGAGATTCTACTACAAAGTATCTGAGATCACATTGGTTTGTTGAATCTGACTAAAATGTATATAGCTATGTGAAAGTAACAGACATAGGAGAAACCTTCAAAGTCTTATGATGACCTAACTACAGCTGAAACAGATCTTAATCTTCATCAATACATCCTTTTGCAGTACAGATGAAGGACTCTGGATACCAACCAACTTCTAGCTTTAAAAGCTGTCACCTAAATAAGGATACCCATTTGTATTAATGGCTCTCTGACTTTATAGAGGACAATCAGGGCTCGAAAAGCCCACCCCAGAGAAGCCAGAAGCTAAGCGAGGCTGTCATCAACTCCTACAGAACTTAAGTTTTAGCTGTTGTTTGAAGAGATCTTCCCCTTCCTCCCTCCCCTCACATACATGTATCAGCCAGCTTCCCTCACAGAGAAAATATATCACTTCTATATACAATGAAAAAATCCAGTTACATAAGATGTTTTTACATATATATATATATATTAGTGTGTGTGTGTGCACGCACGTGTGTATCTAGAGAGGCCAACCACTTACTCAGAGACTAGGAAATATTGTCTCTTTAGTGACTAATTACATAGTCAAGTATAGGGATTTTCATACCTTCTTATGGAAGAGTTTCTGAACTCTATTACTTAGAAAAGAAAAATGGCTCCCAATCTCATACAGATATTGCTGTATTTCTAATAATGGGAGGAAGAAGAGAATATCTAAATAGCAATCAAAGACAAAACTGCTGGATATTTAGTAGGAAGCCTTCAAAAGCTCAGATGTTCAGCCATCTGACTCCACCTATTAGGCCAGGCACAATGATAGATAAGCAAAGCAGTGACTGTCAAGAAGCAAGTCCGTCATGAGAAGCCAGGAGCCACCAGCTGCCAAAATGTAGGAAGGTGCTATAATTGAACTGATTGCACATCTGCAATTTTTTGTTTTTAAACATCCCAGTAAAATTTAACAAAGCCAAGACTACAGCATTTTACAGTCAATCAAATCCAGCTAAACTCGAAGCCTTAATTGAAATGGTCACACAAAAAGTGAGCCTTGCAAAAGCTCCTTTCCTCTTTTGCTCTTGAAACCCTAGGATAGCTTTAAGATGTACTCTGCTCTCCTGTTGAGAAAAGGGGCAGGTGGAATGAGAACTATATTCACTAACTTGCCTGTCAGCCCTAATTCTCAGTTCTGTTCTCCTACTCCAGATATTTCAATTACATATTTGATCTTAAAGGTCTCAAAAATTATCATCTGCATTTTCCCTTGCTACTTAGTCCTCAACAGTGTTTGCACTTACATGGACAGAAGTAGTGAAAAGTGTTTTCTAAATGTTTTTCATTGTTTCTATGACCAACCACTTAATTCAACCTTGGAGAAAGTAAACAGTTACCAGTTCCCCTTGATCAGCATTAGATGCAGCACTAACCACCAGCTTTGCTTATTCTACCTATCATGAGAATATATTACCTTGTGAACTGAAGTTTCCCATCTCAGCTCTACATATAATCATTTCATCACATGCTAAAAATTTGACTTTCTAGAAATATCCAAATAGAACAAAATATACAACCTTACAGAACAGAGCAGTCAAGCCATTCTTCCTCAACCAATGATGGCAACTGTACTCTCCAGCCTCTAAATAGTTTA